ACATACACCCAGCCCCTCGGCCACTTAAGATAGTTTACAAATTTTATGCAGAGTAAAAAAAAATTAATAAAAAACTTGGTGGACTGATTTGGCATGATGTTCTAAGACATTGCAGCTGATAGGAGTCATAAAACAGAACAGGGGGATGTTAGATGTCCTGACGCCACTACAGATAAATGTGTTGAATGAGTGAAGGAAAATATGAGCACCAAGCAACCAAAGCAGACCAAAAATTTTATGTGCAATCCTGTTTATCTTATCTTATCTCATCTCATCTTTTCTTAAATCTGTGTGTCTGTAATGTTTCTGTTACCTTCTGTTATGTTCAATAAAAATTATTCAAACTTAATACATATAACTCATTAAAACAAGTACAAAATTTCATCACTGTGGATCATTAAGATGGTTCTTAAAGTTTAACAATAATAATATTGGTAACAAAGCTAAATGATTTTGTTAGAATGGCATCTTTAACACATTTAAACATGCCGGATGTTTACATACAGTAGTTTGGTTTGAGCACCTAACGAACCGCTCGTCAAACCCCACTTCGTTTTCGCTACCAAATAGGAGCGCGAATCTTTGCTAACAAAAGTCATCATGGTCTCTGTTACCTTTAAGTTATGTGGAGAGTCGGCTGGTAACATTAGTGATGCCTCAGTTTCTTTTGTTTTTCTCCAGACAACTTGCTATCGAAAGCTAATGTTAGCACTGAATGTTAACTGGATGTAAACATACGGCAAACCAGGAGTGATAAAATATAGAAACGCGCCTCAGACGCGCGTACAAGACGCCATGGGGAAGAATCGATCTCAATATCTACCACAACACTGCCATAAACCAAACATTTTGTTTGTCCTGTCTATGTCGACAGCTCTGCAAAAAAATAATCTTTACCCTTTCAAAAGTAGCAATATAAGTAACATCAAGGTTGGGTACTTAAACAGGTGTTAACATGGTTTCAGAACCTAAACAACTGGCATCCACCCCAGAAAAAGAGCATGAATAATTTGGTGCAACCAAAGTACTTAAACTTTTGACACAAGTGTTCACTCTTTGATGCCCGAGTGAAGATGTCGAAGGCAACTTAAGCAAACACCAGGGAGGATTGCACTGCATTTGACAAACAAAAACAACAACAACAAMAAAAACACGTTTGGACAGATGATCCTCTGTGTAAGACAGTCTTTATGTATTACACATAGGAATTACCAAGGCATGCGTTTCAGAGTGATTGTAGGTACTGTGCATAATTTTAGAGCTGCTGTCTTTCAGCAAGCAGTCTATATTTTGTTTTCCTTTYATTCCATACAAGCAGCATTTATAAGAACGTGACGCCAACTTTTAATGCCTAACATGCTAATATTTTGTTAAAGAGCATTGTAAAATAATTATCACACTAAGCTGGTCACTTTCTATATCACTGTTCTGTGTTTTGTTTTGCAAAACATGATGAGCTGATCAGACTTGTCCTTTTCTTTTCAACAAAAAAATTGTTTTGTTTGCGAAACATCAAGGAAGCTCACTACTGTCTATATACCCTTGCTGTTTTTCTTTATCCTGATATATGCACACAGACTTAAAAAAAATGAACACAGTATATAGCCATTCAAAACAACTGCTGAAGCTACCTTTAACAATCACAAAGGTCTCATATAAATATCTAACTATGAACACATGCACACCTTTTCAGATGTGCTTCAAAATGAATTCCAAATAGAGACAAGTCTGAAAAAGGGATCCAGTCCCTCCAGAAAATTTCTGTTGTTGTTTTTTTTTCCCCGAGTCAGAACCGCATGTTTGAGAACAGCTTGCGTACGATCATCCTCTCTGTGCAATTACCCAGAAGTTGCCATGTTTAGCGCTTTACATTTTAAAAGTTTCACTGCGACTCCCTTACTGCACCCTCTTTTCAGCATTATTCCAGTTCTCACGGGCACTCTGCAAAGTCAACATTATTTCCAAAAATACTGCAACAAACTATACTGCCCCAGCCTCCAAAATTCTCTGTCATCTCTCATGAGATTAAGGAACTAGGTTGTCAAACTACCCGCCTCCCTGCTCAACGAGATGAAATAAACCATGGTTTAGGATTTATTTTTGAACTGCACCAAAGCTTATCTGATGATAGAGTTTGGTAGCTGTGACGTGAGCATAGCAGACAAAAAGCATTCGTTCTCAGCCTCCACTAATTAGTTATGTGTCTGCAGGGAACACCCAGGTCAGACACCACTGCTGAGTCAATGAGACAGTGGATTATAATGAAAGTACTGTGCAATATATTTCAGGAGTTTCAGCAGAGCAACAGTGCTTCACACATAAACAACACAAAACACTTACCAAGATMGGATCTGTGGAGAACTTAATTTTCCTCTTTGGGGGAGGTTCATCTTCATCTGAGAGGCCAGGGGCCTCATAACAGTCATCGTATTCCTCATAGGTTTGATCTTCCTCCTCTGCCTCCACCTCCCCTTCTTCCTCCTCCTCCTCCTCTTCCCTAATGACCTGGTCTACATCTCTGTCATCCACAAATGCTGCGTTCTCAATACCATACACTCCTGGAGAGGCCCTATCCACTTGCTTCTCTAGTGCAGCCTCTTCATCTGCTGCCTCATCATCTTCACCATCTTGACTCACAACAAAACTGTCTTCCTCCTTTTCTTCCTCATCATCCTCCAGGAGTCTCCCTTCATTTACAGTGTCTGTTCCTCTTTGATGATCTGTTTCAAAATGTGTTTTTTCTGCTGTGAAGCTTCTTTTTACGTCTCTGTGGTTTTTCTGGTCCTCAACATTTTCATCCTCGTTATCCTCACTTTCCGAGGACTCATTCTGAACCACAACCAGTTCAGCCCGCACCGTGCTCCCCACTTTGGTTTCTGGGACTGAAGGCTGGATGGTAGGCTTGTCCCCTGCAGAGTCGAGAGTTGCGCCATCTTTACGCTTGGCCTTTTCCTGGTATTTGGTCCTGTCTGCGTGCTGTGATCCATCAGTTGATGTCAAAGATGGTTTCTCATCTTTTGCGGGAGGACTACGTGGTTTAGCTTCATCCCCACCAGCAGATGTCCGATTTAATCTTTCAGCAGGTGATGAAGAGAACTTGTAGCCGTGGCTAACTGAGGTYGTCTCCTCCGATGAGTGAAATTTGTGAGCAGTGTCAGCTATCAAAGAAACAGATTTGGTTTCCGGACTGGTAACTGTCGGTTTAAGCCCAAAACCTGACCCTGCAGATGCAGGCTTGTCTTTATTTTTGTTGGTGATATTATTTACAGAGTCAGCTGCCTCTTTGACAGAAGACGTAGCTTTGTGTAAACTGTCTCTTGTTGGAGAGGTAGGCTGTATGTGTTGTTTAGCAGACACCAATTCTTCTTTCCCAGCAGATGTGTGGTTGTCTTCTGTGTCATTCTCAACCATATAATTTTCCAACCTCTTGGATATGGGCCCTGCATTTAGCGACACTTTAGGCGCAGGCCTTCTCTCACCATCTGCCATCTCCTCTGTGTGACTTTTAACCGTTGATACAGGAGTTTGCTCTACTTTGCCAACAGTTTCAGAGCTTCCTGACACTCTTCTTGTGCTTTTCCCTTCGTCTGAGGCACTTCCAAAGGACAAACGATTTACTACTCTGTTTGAGGGCTGCTTTTCGGTCACAGCCTTCTCTTTGATGCCTCTTTCAAATAGTTTTCTGGTCACAGAAAACTTTTCTGCCAAAGCCACTTTGTCAATCTCAACTTCGTCTCCCTTGGGCGTTTTATCTAAAGTGTGGGATTCTGGGCTTGAGGCACTGTTAAAGCTAACCTTGTGAGCATTAGCTGGAAACTGCATCTTGGCTGGAGAAGTCTGGGGAACATCGGGCTTTAAAGTCGGTTTTCCTTCTTGGTGCTCCTGTTGCTGACCGTCCATCTGTAGAAAGATGTTCTTTATCTTATTCACTCTGGTTCCAAAAGGCCTTCCCCTCGATTCGTCCCGGGTGTCACTGGATCCGTTTGTAACATTTTTAGAGATGGATTCAGACTTTGGACCATCAAAGGAGCACTTAATGGCATGAAAGTCAGACTTGTATGCATTTCTGTGAGGGGAGGCACTTCTCAGAGTCCTCTCTGCTCCTTTGCTTTCTGCTTTGATCATCTTGTTGCTTGTTTATGACTGGAGCAAAATCCTAAAAAGTCAGCTTTCTGGAATGTTTTTTATTTTTTTAAACTACCACAAGACTTTATGCAGCCGGTGCCATGATGGGTCCGGCGTAGGGTTTCTGGAGTACTGGTCTCTCAGCTCAGGCGAAGTCATCTATAAAGAAAAGAGAAAAATAATGTTTTCGTGCTGACTAATAGTTCAACATAGATGTTTATTTACCATAATGGCATAAATAACCGTATGTCCAGGCGATCTGATTTAAACAGGCTGTTGGTAATGAAGGTAAGTTCGCGTGCACAGTTTGAATTGTCTGCTCGCGTGAGCAGCTAAAGTTAAACGAAACTAGTTAGCCTCGAAGCAAATGTTAACTATGACGTTATGTTGTGCTTGAATCAAAGGTTTGCTGCCGGCCACTCCACCCATAGATAWAAAGCGACGCAATGTTCAACTTTTGTGCGTGCCGACACTTCAGTAAGCGCCTGAACAATTCATTGTCGCGTGAATCTTCAACTACGAGCCGCTGAAAAACTGCTTACGCCGGTCAAACACGGTGTACTTCGTTTAAAGAAAAATTAAACAACTTCTACGGTCTCTCACCTAGTCGCTTCATCGAGTCAGACGCCAAAAGATGCCTCGAGATGCCATTTTTTTTCCTCTTACAGTATCAAACTTGCTCCTTCTTGCTCACCGCCATCATTCCCCCCGCTTCTCCTCTCCGCACTTCCAGACCTGCCGCGGGATGCGCGCGCACCCGAGTCTCTTGGGCTCAGATGCGCGCCGCCGACAGCCACCAGAACGAACGGGAGCGCGCCTACATTCCAGGACTGTAACCCACTACTCCTGTTTCTCCCCACAGTTTTCTCCACAAGCACACAGCTCAGACACTGGAGGAATTTTCAGGAGAATCAGCGTGGGAACTAAAACTCACCTAGACCTCTTAAATAGCAGGAGTCCACACCAAGCACACACACACAAAAAAATCACCAAGTACTTTATTTACACTGTGAATGTTAAGCAATCAAATAGAAAAACAGTTCTGTTTGATAAGGAAATAGTTTTTTTATACAAGCTTCCTTTAGCAGTAGTCTGAGTGAGTTCCTGCTATAATATGTTACCTATTAAGTTCACTTGTCTCAGTAGGAGTACTCAGTTGAAGGCAACACTTTATAATAAAGGTACAAATCAAAACAAAAGTAAGTATTTGTAAAAGTATGTAATAAAACATTAAAAGGTTATCTTTAATTATATCAAATGGAGCATTTCAAAATAGTTTATTCCAGTAGTTTTCCAGAGGAAATGTGGGGATGCATTCAATGTAAACAAAGCATTTGGCTAAATTGCAAATTGCATCACATGATCTAAATCAGTGGTTTCCAAACTTTTTGTCTTCTGACCCACAAAATCTCCATGGTACGGAACCCGCGGGGGGTCAGTGGGAGAAAAAAAACAGCCGCTGGCTCTGTACCATGGCAAAATCTTGTGACCCCAAATATTACTGGTCTGAGT